ACGACTAAGCTGATTCCTGCCACAGGGCTTTTGGATGTGCTATTCCTTCTACCTGAAACATTCTTTCCCTGTACCTTTACCTGGTTTATTCCCTCACATCACTGAAGTCCTTAATGCTACTTTCTCAGAGAGGCATTCCCTCACTACCCTTACCTAAAACGAGTCCCTCATCATTCTCTTTCATGTTATCCTGCTTTATTTTTCTTTACACAACTTGTGATTATCTGATATGTTTATTGTCTGTCTTCCACACCAGAAATGAGGGTAACTACTTTGTCTTGTTCACTGCTGTATTTCCAGTACCTATAACAGTGCCTAGCATGTGGTAAGCTTCCCAAAATAATTGTTGCATACTTAATATATAATAGAAATATTAATATATAATTGTTTTTAACATTCTTTTCTATAACTGATGGCACTATATGTAATATAATACCACATTCCCATGTGTTTAAAGCCTATAAATAACATACTGGTAGATAACCTGGAAGGAATATAAAAATTGCTGTTGTACATTTTGTATTCTATTTTTACTGAGTACTGAGTGGGTAGAGTATATCCTATTGTTTACTTTTGAAGGGGTTGCATGACATGAATGTTTTGGGTATTCCCTGCCTGTTTGCAAACAAGTAATTGGGGGCATCTGGGAGTACGAAGAACGGTGTTGAACAAAAGGGATTTTTTTGCTAATTCCAGAGCAGTAGTGCCTTTCAAGGCAGTGCATTGTTCTTCAGGTATGACATCACTGGAGTAGAATATAAGGTATATTTAGTAAGAACTATTTGACCTGTTTCAAGAAATATTTACTAATTGATGACCTGGGGGATTTTATTTAAAGGACTGCAAATAAAAAATTTTAGTGGGTTGTTTTTAAAAAAGCATGTTGGTGGTTTGTTGGATAGAATTATAAACTAATAACGCTGTGATCTCAGCTCAGGGATAAATTCTGAAATTTGTAAACTGCTTCATGAATTAACACTGTAAACTTAGATGTTGCTATGGTAGCTCAAAACTGAATTGTCTGTCTTTGACAGTGTTGCAGCAAACTTGTTAGCCAGATGAACTCAGGATATTATATAGTAAAAGCATCTAAAAAAGAATTATGCGGCCTGGCGCTCTGGCTCAGGGCTGTAATCCAAGCACTTTGTTAGGCTGAGACAGGAGGATGACTTAAGCCCAGGAGTTTGAGACCAGCCTGGTCATATAACGAGATCCCCGTCTCTACAACAAATAAATAAATAAATAAATAAAATGAAAATAATTATGCCCCAGAATGACTGCCTATGTTTTTACAAGAATTGTAGATTTACTGAAAGTATTTTATAAATATCAATAAATAATGTTCGTATGTAATCTTATTAGGGATGCAAATATAATCATGCTATATAAACCTGGATATTAAAGTGATATTTAAAAAAAATAAATCTTATCTGTGTTTCATTTCCATACAGTGATTTTCATAATTCAGCATGTTCCTAAGTTCCTTGTGTATGTGTATAGGACATGACTGACATCATTTTACTAGTGGAAAACATGATGCATCTGTGTGATTCAAAGCCCTTTTTTGTTAGTTAGTACAAAGTCATCCTCAGCATTCTTTATAAATTACTCCACTGTAGGACATGTTATTTGCTAGTTATTGCCTAAATTGGACTTGATTCACCACCAGGTCATAGTCTGATTGTACTATTATTGAGCTATGTATTAATCTCAGTGTGTAACCTGGCAGGTTCGAGACTCTCTTTATTGTGCTGAGTCATGACTATACTCTAGAAGCTACGAATACGCATTTATACATGTCGGGCAGCCTTCTCGAAATAAGATGAGTTATCCAGGAAGCCAGTGTTCTTGAGTCACATCCTGAAACCACAGATGGAAACATGACAGATTAACCATTGAAATGGAGAATTATAGCCTAGGGATAACTTGTATGAGAGAAAATTGACCTATGCAGAGTGAGACTACTTGAAAGAGAGTATTATATTTTAAAAGGAGTATGACTTTTAGAATCAGATATTGGCATTTTTATTGGTTAAACTGCATAACCTTTTGAAACCTGAGCCACAAATGCCTCATTCGTAATATTGGCATGATAATAATCGTAGTCATAAAAGTTTGTAAGGCTTAAGTGAGCTAATCCATATAAGCACCTGGCACAGAGCTTGACATCTAGTAAAGGCAAAATAAACTATAATCCTTATTATTATTGTTGTTTTCCAGAGTCACCTGGCAAAGCTGGTGACAGAGCCGAGGCCTCCTAGTCAATGCCTTCCATGTAAGACTATATCAATTTATCACTTCATTTGCAAATGACATTTAAGTCTGCAATCTCACTGCATTTCCATTTTTCCCTCCTCAGATTGGACTTGCTTTGGCCAATATTTTTAGATACCTTAAACAATGTGAATAGAGAGTATCAAATTTTATAATTGATTTTTTTTTACACAAAGGCAACAGAAATAACATATCCATAGTTTCTAATGTATGTTTTTAAAAGAAATCATTTTTAGTGACATTGCAAAATTCCATTTATCATTTTCTAATGAATAATTGTCTTTGCAAATTGGTCACTGCCTTTACAATAAAATAAAACAAAAATCCTGTGGTCATTTTGGATACCTTAGAAGAATCTTTTTCTTTCCCTTTGTCAACAGAAGGAAGGAATGTTTCTAAAAAACCATATTATGTATTATGAGTCTTGCAATGTTTTTCTGTCTCTTCCTTCTTTTTCCTATCCTTTCTGTATAGATTGTATCAGCTGTGGGGCCCTGTGCTAGTCATATCACTTCTCTAAGCCCCAGTTTTGCTGTTTGTAAATATGGAGTACAAAACTTATACACTTACAGACCTGTTAAAAATATCAACATATTCTTTACAAACTATGAAAAGCTAAACAAATGAAAGAAATTACTGTTTTTAAGGCAAAAAAAAAAAAATCAGTAGAGGCAGCACATTGGATCAACAAAGGTCGTAGAAATTGGAAATTAATAATAAGTGTCTAATTATCTACCATGGACAAGTCTGTTGTGCTGAATTAATAAAGGCAAATGTGTAGGTTGTGGCAAGTTATTTTCAAGTGTTGCTTAGTGGCAAACCCCTCTCAAGGATATAGAGCATTTTACTATTTTCCTAGCGCTTTCACACACGTTATCTTATTTAATCTTCAAGACACCCCTGCCAGGCTTGAATCATTACCTCCATTTTATAGATGCAAATTGAGATATAATTTACCTCTTATCACAGTGGTTGAGGCAGGAGTGAAATCCAGATTGATACTTATACCATTGTGCCTTTTATTATAACAAGCTCCTGGACTATATATCTGTTTTTGATCCAAAGAATAATTGGTCCTGCCAGCTTTTATAGCACCTTGCTATAATTCCAAATTTGCTTTGGATGGCTTTTGGCCCCACCCATAGCCTCCCCTATCTTGTGACTTATGGAATCTTTGTCCTGGCCTTGTGACTATTTCAGGAATACTTAATATTTTCTATGTGCTTGATTGAAGGACAGTATTAGAGATTCTAATTAATGTCTCTAAAGTAGAGGGGAGAACAAAAGAGGACCTGTGATAACTGCCTATGTTAATCTATTTCTTGAGAAACCATATGATTGGTAAGTACCTGGAATTTCTCCAACAATGCACGGATTGCAGCCAGCTCTTAAAGTGAGAGTATTATGTTGCATGACTTGGAAGTGGTGGGGAAGCAAGACTGAGACGAGGCAGTTACTTTAGGTTTGCCATTCCAACGGAGATTCTCAGTGAGAAACTATCCCAACAATAGTGTTGTGTAAAACTGACAGGGTAGAATTAGAAAGTTGCCCTCCACATTGATCTTATGCACAGAAAATACCTAGTGTGTGGTTACCATCAAGGGCTCTGGTACTAGATTGTCTAGATTTAAATCCAGGTTTCACCATTTATGGCCTGTGTGACTTGAGGGATGCCGGTTAACTTCTGTATGTCTTAGCTTCTGGCCTTTAAAAAGTTAATTTTGTAGAGTAGAGAGTAGAATAGAAGTTACCAGAGTCTGGAGACAGGATAAAGGAGCTGGGATAGGGAGAGGTTGGAAAATGGGTACAATGTTACAGTTAGATAAGAGGAATACATTCTGGTTTCCATTGCACAGTAAGGTGAGTATAGCTTACAATAATGTATTATATATTTCAAAAGCTACAAGAAAGGAATTTGAATGTTCTTACCACAAAGAACTGATAAACATTTGAGGTGATATATATGCTAATTACCATGATTTGATCATTACACAATGTATCCATGTATCAAAACATGACATTGTACCCCATAAATATGCACAACCATTATGTATCAATTAAAAATTAAATTAAACTTAAAAAGAAAATTTAAACAAATAACATTGAACTAAAAATAGTATATATGTCCAAGTCTGATTGTGAGGATTATATGAGATAATGCATATAAAGCGTGTAGTACAGGGCAGTGACTGGGATGCTAAATAAATACTAGGAGTTATTATTATGATGACAGATACTATGACTGTTACCACTTTCACTTTGCATCTTCTGCAAGATTTAGCTGGGTTAGTATCTGGCAAAATAAACTCGAAAGATGCTCAATGAATGTTTATTGAATTATTACTCTGCCAGAAATGTCATGAATGATAAAACTGTGGTGGGCTGGATGGTTTGGGTGGTGACAGGAGGTAGAGGAAGGTTGGAAGTTAGGGAGAGGCTTCTAGGAAATAGGGGCAGGATAGATTCATTATGGTAAGAACATTTATTTGTTAGTTAGTGGAAAGGATTCAGGAGATGTGGTTTTCAGTCACAGCTCTGCCACCAGTAAGTTGTGTATACTTGGCCTGCTTATCTTTCTCTCTGGCTATTTCCTTATTTCTAAAAATGAGAAGCTGAGACCAGATGAGTGGTTATGAACTGTGGTCTGAGAGTGTGAAATATATATATAAAAAATTTTAAATCTAATATGTCTGCATTTGCTTTTCTAATCTTCCTTTTGTCTTCAGGTCCTGCTCCTCCTTGTGAAAAACTCAGGTGTTCCGGGTAACCACATAGTGTATAAAGCCCCTCATTGTGCTAGTGACAATTCTGTAACCCAGAAGCCAAGGAAAGAGTTGTCTTTGTGTTCATTTCGGTAAGAAATTCTTGGTTGGGCCCTGGGTGTAATGTAGCAACTACTTTTGTGCGTTTGTCTGTACGTGATGCTAGAAGCTAGCTATCCCATTTTCCACCTTTGCTTAGGTATATTGATTGATCTGATCCATGAAATGGTATTTGATAGCCTGAGTCAGATTTCAGTAGCCTATAAATGGAATAAAAGCAAATGATTTTTAACTCTTTATTTAGCACTTATACTATACATGACACAACACTATGAAATTTTAAAGAACAGATCAATAGGTGAGAGAAAATTTTGTTAGAATCTCTCTGAGAGCATTTTAAGGGCAGCCTGATTGTCTTAGTCCTTATAGTGATTTGGAAGGTTTTCTCTTTGTCAGACCTATGTCCTTGAGCCTAGTAGTAACCACTGTGTTCATCTTAATCTATGAGAGTAGCTCTGTGGAAGATCTGTAAGCTTCTGGTAGCCAAATCTACCCAGTACTTACCGATGCATTAGTGGGCAGCCATGGGCTGGCAAGTAGAGGGAGAGGAATTGGGGAGAAAGAGAGATTTGTTGGGCCTCAGTGAGAGAAATGGCATTCTCTCCTGATTTTATGAGGCACAGAATTTTAAAAATAACATGGTGTTGATTCAGCCTGGTTAGTTAATTAAAGGAAGACTTAATCACTGAGGTCCCAGAGGAAAAGCTTTCATAATCCTGAGTCAAGCCTGTGGGACCCAGCAGAATAGGGTGGAAGTACACAGGACTGGGAATTATGAGATCTCTGTCCTAATTCCAGCTTCGTTACTAACTTGCTGTGTAATCTTGGGCAAGTTGGAGTTTTACTTCCAAATTTATATATGAGAATTTGACTACCATTGTCTCTGATATACATACTGGCTGTAACAATTTGATCCTAAGATTCTATAAAGTAGCCATTGAAGCTTACCAATGTTACAATATTACAGATGGATCAGGTAGGAGGAAGAGGATGGGGTGGAAGAGAGGGTCTATCCTACTGAATTAATCTATGCATGGGAAAAGAAGGGGAGTCCCTAAATGTGGGGATAAGTGACTTTTAATCCTTTACTTTCTGTGAAATTGTTGGTTCCAGAATATAANGGAGTAGTAATTTTTCTTTTAAAAGTAAAGTATTTTTTAAATTGAGTAGGTATATGAAGGCATGAATCCTTTAAAGTCTGATCGTAAAACCAATATCCCTCAAGAATAGAAAGATGACTAAATTGTATTCTGTGGCAATGAAATGCTGTTCTAGTTTTAAAAAAGAGATGAAAAGTTTAGATTTGCTCTTTAGAAAGATCACTTTTGCAGTATGTGGTGTAGAAAATGGATCAGAGGCAGGAAAGACTGACTAAGGAGATCCCTGCTGATAAGATCCTCCATTTAGGAAGTGGTAGTGGTAATGGAGAGGTTGGATGGGAGAGGAGTTGAGGAAGACTCCCCGATTTCTGGTTTGGGCAACTGGAAGGATGGAAATGCCATTTACTAATACGAGAAACACAGGAAAAAGTGGAACAACAATGAGAGTAGACAGAAGTAAAAAATTTTAATTAAAAAAATTATTTAAAAGGAAAAGGAGCAAAGAAGAAAGTCAGTCGCCCAGCAGGGGGCGCCAGCGCTAAATAAAGTTTTTTGTTTGTTTGTTTTTTTTCCCTTAGGTAAAGAAATATTTACGAAGAAACAGAGCAAAGTTTTGAACTATCTGAGGCTTTGGTTTAGGTTCTGAGCTTTTTCAGTGGTCAAATAATTTTCTATTTTATTTATTTATTTATTCATTTATTCATTTATTTTGAGACGGAGTCTTACCCTATTGCCCAGGCTGGAGTTCAATGGCACGATCTCGGCTCACCGCAAACTCCTCCTCCTGGGTTCAAGCGATTCTCCTGCCTCAGCCTCCCTAGTAGCTGGGATTACATGCGCATGCCACCACGCCTGGCTAATTTTGTATTATTAGTAGAGACGGGGTTTCACCATGTTGGCCAGGCTTGTCTTGAACTGACCTCAGGTGATCCACCTGCCTTAGCCTCCCAAAGTGCTGGGATTACAGGCGTGAGCCATCACGCCCAGCCGATTTCAAACACTTTTTTTCCCCCCTCAGAAATGAGAGTATTTGACAGTTTTTTATTTGTTGCTAGGGAGACGGTTGCTATGGAGATGGATGATAAACACTCCCGGTGAACCAGTAAGAATACTGGTGGGTCTAACGGTCTTCCAGATGAAGGCTGTTTGAAGTCACCATAACCTGGTCAGGAGAAGTGTGTGTCGGCGGGGAGGTGAGGAGCTACCAGGGTTTTTGTTTTGCTTTGTTTTTATTCTTATAAGCAGGATGAGACTAGAATCCTTTCTTCCCAAATACATTGGTTCCTAACTTGATTATTTCTGTTTCCACGGTCTGAGGTGGACACAGTTTTCCTAATTCTTGGTAGAAAGCACACAAAGAGCTTTCCAAAATATTTTTAATCACGTTTAGTTTGACTATTTGATGTAAGATAAAGTTAAAATGTTATATTTTTCCTTTATAGAGAGACAACGTCAAGATATTAAATCTTAGAGAAATGGCTTTCGTTTGCTTGGCTATCGGATGCTTATATAGCTTTCTGATAAGCACAACATTTGGCTATACTTTATCTTCAGACACCAAGACAGACGGTAAATGGATTTTAATGGAATAGTTTTTAAATTAGGAAAAGTAAAGTTAAATGGATTTTAATAGAAAATTAACTGTCTTTTTGACCTACCTTATGGAAGTGCATAACTGACTAGTAGATGAATTGTTATTGAAACTATTTCAGGAGGTCCGTGAGCAAAAGCTATGTACTTACTAGTCACTTTCTTGTATAAGGTAACTGATGTTGACACACATTTTGTGGGATAAAAGCCAAATTAAAAGACATTGTTCATACCTTTTTGTATAGTAGTTTTTTAACAGATCTGATATCTGAAACCTCATTGCCTGCTACTAAACTAACTGTAACGATTTCTTAATTACTCTCCTTAGCTTTTATGACAATTAGATAAATTTAAAAAGGTACAGAAATTTAACGTGAAATTTAAAAATAATTATGCAATTATTAAATTATTATATGAACTTTTTAATTGAAGAAGGTAATTTGAACAATGCATTTGACAAATAATTTAACCTTAAGTGTTGAAATGATAGAATTCTCATTTCATCCTCAATAGAGACCTTCTTTATAGGTACGTGGGTGTCCCAGGTCAAACCATAACTGGTGCCACCATTTCTTTTCTGTGGATTCTTTTTCTCACTTCAATAAGTATTATGAAATATGTATGAACAATGTAATATAAATGAGAGAAAATTATTAGCAAAAAGGCAACATGAGGGCAGTACTATAGTACTACTAGATTTGCTAGTAGAAAAGTTTATAGAATTATTGAATGCACATGAACATATATATTATATATAATAATATAACATTGATATTACATTATAGATATATAATAATTATATATAAAATTATATAACAAAATTATATAATAACATATTAAAATTATATATATATAATTTGTTTTATTGCTTTTTAAATCACCTGATGGAGTCATTGCCTCCGACTGCACCCCTCTGAAATAGTAATATAGGCTGATTCCCCATATCACACAGCTGAATCCTTCTCTTGAATCCTTCCAAAGAGTGAAACTTTAGTTACCTAGATAATTCAGTTAACTAGAATGGATCAACAAGATCTGCATGTTCCCCAAATTGTTAAGACGCTTTGCTATGGAGGCCATATTTCATATTTTCTATTCCTGTTTTGTATTTGCCACATTATATACATATAATAAACATTGAATTAATATTGATTTGTTATTTCTATTAGAGAGATTTTTGAAATAAAATGTTCCCATCTTGGACCAAATTCTGGCATACATGACCACAGAGATAAAGCCACATTGAAGGATTTGCTTCCCTGAAAAACTAATACCTAGTGAGGCAAAGTCACATTTTGCATATGTGGTTTCTCAAAGAAGGAACAATTACATACCAGTAATCTAGATTTTTTTTACAGTCTCATTGAGATATAATTTACACAAAACTAATTATTTAAAAATGTACTATTCATTGGTTTTTAGTATATTTACAAAGTTGTGTAATAATTACCACTGTCAAAGTCTAGAATAGTTGCATCACCCCTAAAAGAAGCCTAAACCCATTAAGAAGTCACACTCCATTGTTGCTCTCTCCAAGCGCCTACCAACCATGAATCTACTTTCTTTCTCTATGAATTTGTCTATTTTGGATATTTCATAGAAATGGAACTATGTCAATATATGGTCTTTTGTGTCTGGCTTCTTTCACTTAGTATAATATTCTCAATGTTCTTGTTTTAGCATGAATTAATACTTCATTTCTTTTTATGCCTGAATAATATTTGATTGCATACATGTAGCACATTTTGTTTATCTGTTAATTGGTGGACATTTGGAAGCCGTCTAGATTTAGCAATCTTTGTCGTAAAATACAGAAAAAATTAAAGTGTTTTATTGATTTTATTTCAGTTTACCCTCCTCAGAATTTTGAGATAGTGGATCCTGGATATTTAGGTTATCTCTATTTGCAATGGCAACCCCCACTGTCTCTGGATAATTTTAAGGAATGTACAGTGGAATATGAATTAAAATACCGAAACATCGGTAGTGAAACATGGACAGTAAGTAAAGCATGCATTTACAGTATCAGAGCGATCAAGTGTTATTTTGTGATTCCTGACTTTAGTGTCCACTCCAGTTCCCATATCTCAGTGGTTCTTATTAGGATATAAAAAGCTTCCACATCTGCTTCTGTCTCCTATTCATCCCGCTATATCTGCTTTCACCCTATCCACTGTTACAACTACCATTGGAAGTACAGGAAAAAAAAATACTTGGTCTCATGCCATATGAACATGAAGAGCACTTCACTAGAAGAGCATTTTATTCTTGGATATGGGTCTTATACATGCTACTGAACTGTGAGCTTTTCCACTGAAGGAGATAAGGCTTTTTTATCTTTGTACATTTCCCACAGAGGGTGGCAGGATAATGGTTCATTGTGTATATTGTAGTAAGAGCTCAATGAAAATTTTTTGAATTATTAACTACTTATATACTCAACAAACACATATATTCAAAGATTTCTGTTGTAGATGGCATTCTATTACCTCCCTAATTCAGCTAGATAGTTCCAATGGACTAGAAAATTCAAATCAAACATTTATTGATCAGCTTTGTGCTAGACACTCTACTAGGTGTCAGGAATATAAGAATACATAATAATTCTTTTTGTCCTTCAGAAGCTCATGATTTGCCTGGCTTTCTCTGGTTACTTCCAGGGTTTTACTTTATGTATTTGCTGAAAGTTTCATATTATATTTGAAATGTGACATAATTTGCCAAGTAATGTGCATATGGTATATGAAAATTATCTATTCGATTCCAAGCAGTTATAGCTCAAGTTCATGCCATAGGTTTTTTTCCCTTCCAAAAATTTTCATTTTTATTTGGAATGAGATGTTAAGATTCAAATGATCTTATCAAATGATATGACATACAGAGGTGAGCTCTGCTGGAAATGCATCTGTGGCATTGTATCAAATAGTCATTAGGACTGTCTCAGATATTGGGAACTCTCCAGGGTATTAATGATTTATTAGTCTTATTAATATAGCTCACTGTACCATGGAGGTTTGTAAGCTTGACTTTGTCTCATCTTTTTATCAAACAGACCATCATTACTAAGAATTTACATTACAAAGATGGGTTTGATCTTAACAAGGGCATTGAAGCAAAGATACGCACACTTTTACCATGGCAATGCACAAATGGATCAGAAGTTCAAAGTTCCTGGGCAGAAACTACTTATTGGATATCGTCACAAGGTTAAAATAAAGCTTTCTTTTCATATTTAATACTCTCAGAACAATTCATTTGGGAATAAGTCCCTTATGTACCAGGTTGTATGTATAAGATCCTGTGACAGTGTGGCAAAAAATAGAATCTTTCTTGTAGTTGGTGATTAGCCTTTAAAAATTTTTTAAAACACCAAATACCTTTGGTAAAACCTATGTCTTATTTTATTGATATAGTTCCCAGTTTTGGGTTCATATTAGTAAACAGTCATGAGTGTTTGTTCATATGCTCAGAGCATCCTAGAATAATCAATTTAATACTTTTGGATATGCTTATACTAATATCAGTAAATAAGCCCTCAAATGTTTCTTTGGTTTTACATGTCCCTCTCATAGTGAAGTGATTTCCAGTAACTTCCTTTTGAAATAATCCTGATTATGTTGATTGCAAAATAAAATGGTGAGATCATAGGAAATGAAGTAAAATTACATGATGATTTCACAAATGATTAATCACCAAGCCTTTCAAGGATTCACGATTGATTTGTTCCTTAGGAATTCCGGAAACTAAAGTTCAGGATATGGATTGTGTGTATTACAATTGGCAATATTTACTCTGTTCTTGGAAACCTGGCATAGGTGTACTTCTTGATACCAATTACAACTTGTTTTACTGGTAAGCATTTTTATAATTAGAATTCCATATTTAAAAATGTCTACTCAAATTAATCCATAGTATGAATAACTATATTTTCAATAAGTTAAATTAATTATACTTGTCAGAGTTGTATTTATGATGGTGATTGTTTACAATTATTTGAGGCTTTCAATGGGTGTAAGTGGTTTTAGGATATAGATACTGGAAAGTATTCTATGGGTGATATAAGGAATGCAATAATTGTTTCTGTACTGGGTTAATGTTTATTCTTTAGATACAGGAAGTTAGAACCTAAACAATTTTGGCATATTTTATATTCTGGTCTTTTTAAAAATACTGGATCTTTTTTCTGACTCCCTACCTTTGCTAGCTGTCAGTGAAGCTTTTAAACTTGGCCATTGTGACTCGTGTATCACCTTCATTTCTTAATTGTTTCAGGGTAACATAATCACCATGTTCTGACATTCCTTTGGAAGGTTGCACATCTCTTAAGTGTTCTTACCATCTCTGCTGTAAGAGCTGTACTTTAGGCTTCCCTCATTCCACACCTGGATGATTGACATTGCTTCCCAAATGATGGTTGCTCTGCTTCCAATCTCTCCCCTTGCAATTTCTCCCTTTTTAAATTCATTTTTGCACACTGTAGCCAGCTTTATCTTCCTACACTACCATTTTCATATACCACTCTCTTGTTCAAAAACCTCCCATGTCTACTCATTGCCCCAGGATAAAATCTAGGTTGCCATATCGTCTACTATTACCAACGTGAATGTTCCACTCCATTAAAATCCATCTCTACATTTTTTTCCCACTTATGTTACTGTCTTTTATACCTTTGTTTGCATTATCTTCTGGAATGCCCTCTAGCTTTATCTTTCTTTCACCAATTTTTATTAAAGCTCATCTGCTCCCGAGTTTCATTAACTTTTAATTGCTCATGTCAGCTTCTGTTTTGTCTTTCTCAAACTATTACCTTTTTTTTTTTTTGTTTTTTGAGGCAGAGTCTTGCTGTGTCACCCAGGCAGGAGTGCAGGGGTGCAATCTCAGCTCACTGCAGCCTCCATCTCCCAGGTTCAAGCGATTCACATGCCTTAGCCTCCCAAGCAGCTGAGATTATAGGCGTGTGCCACCACGCCTGGCTAATTTTGTATTTTTAGTAGAGATGAGGTTTCAGCATGTTGGCAAAGCTGGTTTCAAACTCCTTACCTCAAGTGATCCACCCACCTCAACCTCCCAAAGTGCTGAAATTACAGGCATGAGCTACCATGCCTGGGCTTGAACTATTATTTTTTATAACTCTTAATGATTTATTGTCCAGATGACATTTAAATTTTTCTCATATATGTGTGTTTTGTCTCCTGTCAAATGTTTAAGGGATTGGTGGGCATGAATCGTTTCTTATATTTCTCTTGACTACCTCCAAAGTTCTATGCTCATAGCAGATTAATACTATTTATTACATAAATGAAACAAGCGATAGCATTGATAAACTGATAGGTAAGTATCTAAGCATATGCATTTACTAAATAATGGACAAATCAAGAGATGAATAAGCATTAATATTGGTGAGTTTTAGTTCCAATTTATGGCATCTTTCTTTAGAAAATAATAATATATAAATGATAAGCTATAAACTATTTGCAATCCTGAGACCTGGGTTCTAATCCCTGCTCTAGCATCATTTAACTTTTTGGCCTTGGGCAAGTAATTTTTCCTTTTAGTATTTTTGTTTCCTCATCTGCAATTGGATAGATAAATTTCAAAGATCTAAATTATTTGTTCATTAATTCAACAAATATTAATCATCTTTTAAATGCCAGGCAGTGTTCTAGATAAAAAGGACAAAAGCTCAAATAAGAGAAAGTCTCTGCCCTCCTGTACATTGTAGTTCATATTTAATATAATTTGATCCTCATCTTAGTGAAAGAGGGAAGAATAAATATTAATATTTTAGAGAATGGAAAATAAAGGTATCAGAAGGCTTCCGTGCTGGCACAAAGTAAGTCTGTATGAAGTTAAGCTTGGAATTCAAGTTTCCCAAACTCTAATCAGATGAACTAACCAAGAGACAATTTTTCAAACTCTGCCTAAAGTAAATACTTGGCATAAAGTTAATTTAGCAGAGTCCAGATATTTATACTGGCACCTTATCAGCTGCTATATTGGCCTCATTTCAACAGGGATTTGGGCTGCTTTTACAAATAATGTCATGCTTTGCATTGCAAGCTATTCTTTAGGAAAATAGCCAGGCATTTGTTGCTTTGGAATTCAGTAGGGAATTACCCCTAGTTCCTTTTAGCTTTATTACTGGAATGAGGTTAACTTTAAATGGTAGGGTAACATTTCTCACTTAAGAGATAAGAAAATTAAACATTTAGTTGCCAAACAACTCCTCCTATTCTTTTTTCCCTCCTACAGGTGGCTTTTCTGAGGTTTATCTCTTGATGTGTGTTGTATCCTCGGGATTTTCATTCATTTGATTAAACATAATATTTTCTAAGTCTGCTTTAAAAAAAATTGCTTTCTTTTAAAATAACTTCAGTAAAATAATTTAAAAGGCAAAAATCATACAGGATTATTTGTATAAATCACAGGTTTTCTTATTAGGAATATTATTCTTTGATTCACAAACACTGTTGATGAGTCAGTATAACCTAAGTACACAAGTAAGAATCCTTGTCTTTGAGATTTTGCGAAGACTTTAATCAGTTTGTTAGCTCCATGAAATCAGGGACTATGTCTGCTTTCCCTACTGTTTTTTCCCTAGTGCTTATCATAGGGCCTGGCATATAGTAGGTGCTTAGTAAATATTGTACATTATTAAATGATTTTTAAACTCACATGGTATCCTAAGACAATTGAAAATGGAGCACCTTGATACTGGAAGAGATTGTGAAACACAGTTTTTACAATGCTTATTTTTACAGGTATGAGGGTTTAGATCGTGCATTACAGTGTGTTGATTACATCAAGGCTGATGGACAAAATATTGGATGCAGATTTCCCTATTTGGAGTCATCAGACTATAAAGATTTCTATATTTGTGTTAATGGATCATCAGAAGACGAGCCTATCAGATCCAGTTATTTCATTTTTCAGCTTCAAAATATAGGTGATGTAAACCAACAAACAACTTCAAATTTATTGTTTCTGGTTAGGCCATTTATAACCACTTAAGAAGGGGAGAGAGAGAAAAAGGGAAGGAAGGAATGAGAGAGAGAGAGAGAGAGAGAGAGCGTGCTATGGAAATGCAAAAAAAGAAAATAGCAGAGTGCATGAGGAAGCTTTTATTAAATATATAAGTATGAAAGATAAGAAATTGAATAAAGGTTAATATCATTTTCATTTTAGAACTCACAATGTTATTTTCTGTCTTCAGTTTGTCTGCTACACGGTACTTTTGTCTAGTGTTAGTGATGGAGTAATTATGAATACACTTTTTCCCAGGCCTCAATAGACAAATGGTTGGATATTTACTGAGTCTATATTTTCAGTTGTAATAGTTATGAGAGTGATGGGTTCTAGAGTCTGCCAGACCTGGGTTTGAATCTTAGGTCTATCGTTTTTCTTGTTGTGTGACTTTGGACAAGTTAATTAACTTTTCTGTTTCAATTTCCTTGTTAGTAAAATGAGGATAATAGAGGACCACCTCATAGGTTTATTGTGAGACATGAATGAGATTATGATGTAACATCCTTGGTACTTACAGTGTCTGACATAGCATAAGTACCAAATAAGAGTTATCTATTTGTTAAAGTGGTAGTAGTACTGATTGTGGTTGTTGTTTCTAATGCTACAAAATGGAAACATGGTTGTAATTATTTGGGTCTTCTAACTTTTCTCTTGGGCTTAAATATTTGTCAGTGGGTGACTTGTCAAAAATGAGTTTCCAAAAAAATAACCAAGTTTGTCAATAAACTCATCTTGGCTGGCAAGCAACTTCGATTTTAATACACATCATAGAGAATATTATTGAGCCACTTGGTTTATCCCTGGAGGTTTCTGTTACTGGATGTCCCTAGCTTTGGATAAAGGCTACTACTAAACTTCAACAATCTCCGTGTTGAAATGGTTCCCTTTTGTTTTTCAGTTAAACCTCTGCCACCAGGCTATCTTACTGTTACTCGGGAGAATTTATATGAAGTTCAGCTGAAATGGAGCATACCTTTTGGACCTATTCCGGCAAGGTGTTTCATTTATGAAATTGAGATCATAGAAGATGATACTACCTTGGTGGTATGAATATTGCATTTATTTGGAAAAATCATAAATATAGACTTTTAAATAAAATACCAAACATGAGAACCAAAATCAGTTGCATTTATGTGAGGGAAAGAACATGATATGTATCTTAGTTCAATTTCCAGAAAGCCAAATAAATTAGTGGATAAAAGTAAAATTAATTATACCAATTTTAAAGTTATATAGAACCTCAAAGATTATCAAGTCACTTGTTTTCAACTTTGTGTCAATAAATTAAAGTTGCTGAAAGCCTAAGATGGATTGTGGAGAGGCCTTAAGTAAAAAAAAAAAAAAACAAAACGAGGACCTCTTATTGAGGGACAACCAGACAACCATCAGGTCAAAATTACAGTATGACAGGCTTACAAGAAAATTGGTTTTACCAGGCAAGAAGGGCTAGCTGGGGAAGTAGGCAATGGTTGCAAAACTAATTACTACCCCCAGCACCAACAATGTGGTGATACCTTTAACTTCTATATAGTGGGGGTTTTTAAATCACTATACGGAGTGATTTAAAAAATAAATATGGTATGTGTAAAAATAACATATCACAATTAAAGGTTAATTGTGATATGTTATTTTTACTTATTAGTTTCTAGTTTAGAGAGTGATAGAGAGAAGTTGGTGAGCCAATAGTTCTAATTCGTTCATTTCATATACAGATGAGAAAACTGGTTGTTGAATTGACTTATAGATCTCAGGTATGAAAACTCACTTGCAATCAATTTATGCAGCTAGGACTAGATTTCAGATCTGATTCCCAGTCCTCTCAAGTCTACACTACATCATGCTGATTCCTAAGATAAGTTGTATCAAAGGAAAAGCTAATATACTGGATGAGAAAAATTCTTCAGGTCTTTGAAATGCAAAATTGAAGCAATTGCTTCAGTGATTTCTTTTTACTCTGAGATCACCCAACCTTGAGATAGTCTCATGACTGTAGCAATTGTTTTGTACCAAGCCCTGAGTACTGTTATTCAGGTTTTATTTCCTTATTCTTATTCCAAGCCCTTAACATTGTTATACAGATTTTCCTTGTTCTTATTAACAATCAGAATAAGGAAGGAAGAATAAGGAAAAAAGAAAAAGCTATATATTAATATACGAACTCTATAGTTTCCATCACATGATGTCTCTGTCTTTTGGTAACTCAGTGTATGTAGCATTTTCCAGTTCATAGAATCTGGGAAATTTGACAGTAGCCCACATACTGAGTGTTATAAACACCAAGGCTACCTAGGAATTTTGCCCTCTCACACATGCTGCCCTTCACTATAAGTGATCCATTATCATTGTAGATATAAAATATAAAGAAGGGAAGAAACAATGATTTAGAAACCCCCACTATACAGAGAGCTAATTACTGCTGGGATTGTGCTTTTCTAGTCTTTTGATGCATAGGTTTTATGTACTAAAACCAGCTTTGAAAGGGACAGATATGGAATCTGTCTAGCTGCAATTAAATTAAATAATGGCATCTTATTTTGTCCTTGGCTTTCAGACTATTACAGTTGAAAATGAAACGTACACCTTGAAAACAACAAATGAAACTCGACAATTATGCTTTTTAGTAAGAAGCAAAGTGAATATATATTGCTCAGATGATGGCATTTGGAGTGAGTGGAGTGATAAGCAATGCTGGGAAGGTATGAGCTCAAAGGAGAGTAACTAAATAATGAGCTATTTGCTCACAAAATTAATTTTCTTTCCGTATATTTTGTAATTACAAAAGTGAAAGACTTTCCCATGTAGTCTGTAAACAGAGAGGATAAGTTAGCAAGCACCTCAATGGAACACAGATTTATTAAAAGCCTAATATTCAGTGAGGACTATGAATATTGTTATACTTCTATTATCAACATTCTTGTTTTTCTGTCCATAAAGATAATATCCTAGGTCTTTTGAAGGGATAACAGGAGCATATTTTAATCAATATTTTCTTATGTTTTCAGTATTCAAGAGAACAGAAATCTTAAAGCAAGTATAGATCAGCATACATTTGTTTCTGAGTGCCCAATACTATTCCAAAGGAATATTTTTCAAATTAAGAGGTCATGATTAGTAAAATACATATTCATTCCGTTCACTTCCAACACTGATTTAAAGTGATTTATGATAAAGAAATTTGAATTACACAGCAATATAAATTAAAAAGCCTAAGTAATGAGGTAAAATGTGATTGCATTTCACAATATACTAGCTTTAAGAGTAGAAATGACTAATAAATGTTCGAAATTGATGGAGGTTAACTCAGCATTGCTCTTTCAGGTACATAGATATAGATGCAGCTATAAATATATATATTGATGTTGATACAGATACTGGCATATCTATCAATCATTTATCTCCTTTCATATTCTACTATAGTGGAATCTCCATTAACTCTACAAATATAGTGGCTTCATTGATCCCTTTCAGTCCTCAAATATTTATTAAGCACCTACTATGTATCAGACTCTTTTCAAGCCTTGGAGATATGGCAGTAAAGAAATCTCTACCCTCGGGGAATTTATATTTTATACCAAATTGGGTAGAGATAGGCAATAAACAAAGAAGCCTAACAAATTATTTAATCACTAAGGATTATGGAGAAAAAAATAAGAAGATGGGAAAACTGAACCAAGAGATATATGGAATGAGAAAGAAGACTTACTAGTTTTATATTTTTCATTTTTGTCAGTGTTTTAAAAAAATCAGGAAACTCTAAAGTTATGTCTTGAATTATATCTTGTCATTAGTCAATGCATTATGTAAAGTGGATAGGGTGAGTTTTTAGCTATATCCTCAAAATATATATTCTTTCCTGTATTTTACATGCAGTCTTATCAGTGATAGTGATGACTAAGATTTCTTTTGCTTCGAGGGAAATCTCTTCTTCTGTTTTTGGGTACAGAATCTTGCTCCATTGCTCAGGCTGGAGTGCAGTGGCGTGATCTCCTTGTAACCTCTACTTCCCAGGTTCAAGCAATTCTTGTGCCTTAGCATCCCAAGTAGCTGGGATTACAGGCATGCACCACCATACCTGACTAATTTCTGTATTTTGAGTAGAGATAGAGTTTCACCATGTTGGCTAGGCTGGTCTTGAACTCCTGGCCTCAGGTGATCTGCCCACCTCGGCCTCCCAAAGTGAGATTACAGGCATGAGTCACTGTGCCTGGCCCTCTTCATAGAATCATAATGACTTTGAAATTAGGAGCAAATAATTTATTGAGTTGCATGTGGTCTCAGTTCTTTAGGACATTTCTTATTGGATATTTCAAGTTATAGAAAAATAGGACAATAATATTTTTGGAAATAAAAATATATCCTCTTCAGGATTGACTCTGTATAGGGAAAGCCAGTAGAACTTCAGTGGAGGAGCTTCCTGCCTTCCCACTGTTAATTTTGCATAACAGATAACTTAGTAATTTCTCTGTATTATATTCTTGCAAATCTTATCTGAACCTGAATTTGACTGATAATTTTCTAGTGAAAAACAAAATTGTGAAGAAATAAGACAAAGAAAAAGTGGGATCAAGGGGGGTTTGTAGGTGTATGGCTAAGATTCAAGATCTTTTGTATTACTCCAAAACAAGTGAGAGGTACTAGTTTGGGGAGGTCAAACCTCACCTACTTTTTAAGTTTGCCTAGTGATTTCTCATTTCTTACTATGCAGAAGAACCATTAAAACTCCATCCTTAAAATAACAAAGCAAAATCAAAAAGAAAAGAAAAACCTTATCCCTCCCTTTGGTCTTTAAAATATGAGACAACTTTTAAAAAGCAACCTTAAAAGACTATTTCCATTACTCACACAGGAAGTTTTATTGAAGGATACCTCTTGCTCAGTACAGTATCCTATGCTCTAAGTATATGTTTGACTTACTGAGAGTTAAGAGACACACAAGACATGTTTGTCTAATCACTAGGCTAATATTTTGTCATTTTTAAATGGATAATTCACAAGGTCAAATTTTAAACAAAATCATTCAGGAAAGAAGAATTGTGCTTTGGGAAGTTATTTTTCTAACTGAAAATGAAATATGTCACAGTTAAGTAAAATACTTGTTCTATATAAAAAGTGCACAAATGAAAGGAATGCTATACTCAAACACAACTGTGGTATTTATGCACTGGCAAATATGGCAGGGGCTTCTGAGCTTAAGTCAGTTCTTCACTATTTATACAATAATTCAGTTTCAAAAACAGTGATAAATATCTAATACTTCCCCTTTTTGTGTGATTTTTAATCCTAGGTGAAGACCTATTGAAAAAAGCTTTGCTACTTTTCTTGATACCACTTGGTATTATCTCAATATTTATTGTATTTATAACTGGCCTACTTTCGAATAAGCCAAACACCTCCTTAGAAATGGTGAGATGTGTAACATTATGATGTTTAGTCGGAGATAGCAGATTTTTTAAATGTTCTGCATTAGAACTGATGGAGCTACATTTTATAATTTTGCCTGTTCACTGTGGGTGTACAATTGGTTCTGTATGGATTATGATGATATCTTCAGAAAATACAGTAATTAAAAAAATTAACCTTACAAGACTACATTTTGAGGTGGATTTACTTTTTTCAAAATCAAACTTTAGAACATGAAATACTATTTGACTCTAGATTGGAGAGTGGTATAAGGAGACAGTTACAAGAGAAAAGCAGGGTTGGGATAAAGAGAAGAGTGAATCAAAATGGTCATAAACTGAAACATATTACCGGTGTGCCACAGGCACAAGACCACATACAAATGATAAAACATGGTGCCTGCCTTTGGAGCACACACTCAAGTTAAGGGAGGCAGCATCCATACAAAAAATATAACCTATGAGATTATTTCAGATGATTACCATTTGAGTTGTACAGATAATGTTATAGAATTTCAGAACATAGTAGGGTCACTAGGGGTTGGGGGGCTGTAAGGAGGAGCTGTAATCTGAAGAAAAATATATTTTTGGGACAGGGTTTCATTCTGTCACTCAGGCTGGAGAGGAGTGGTGCAATCATGATTTACTGCAGCCTTGGTATCCCGGGCTCAAGCAATCCTCCCACCTCAGCCTCCTGGGTAGCTGGGACTACAGGCATACAACACCATAGAAGGGCTCTATCTCTAAAAAATATTTAAAAATTAGGCATGGTGGCTAATTTTTAATTTTTTTTTTATAGAGATAGAGTCCCACTATTTTGCCTAGGCTGGTCTTGAACTCCTGGGCTCAAGCCATTCCTCCTATCTTGGCCTCCCAAAGTGCTGGGATTACAGGTGCCAGCCACTGTGCCCCGCTAAGAAAAATATCTCAATGCCATCTTTTCAAGATAGACAGAAAAATGAATGTGTATAGAATGCTTCACTGTTTGCTGAATGCTCTTATGCTTATTATCTGAGTTGTTAATATTCAGTGAAATAGTTTGTGTTATTAATGATGATTTGTTAATAACAGAGTTCTTTCTAAATTCCAGAATTTTTCCATGATGAATGAAGAGTTCATGTTTCAAGAAACATGGTATTGACTCACCAGTTTCCAGTCATGGCCAAATGTTAAATACAAGTCTCAATAAAGTGAATTTTTCCTGCAAATGTTGAATACATCTTATTTAAAAGTATTGTTTTATTTAAATAGGCTTTTGAGTACTCAAAGCCTCAGCTAGCAGTACAGTTTCTGGATTCTGTTAATAGAAAAGAAACTGTTAATAGTTTCTTTTCTCATAAATTCATTGTAAGAGTGCTGTATGTAGAAAAATCAAGGTATGAGTCAGGTTTTATATTTATGATGTATTAATAAAACAATGTGACTTCACAGCTTGCACTAAGTCACAGAGATATTACCAAATCTTGGAAGATGAGATTCTAGCTTTTGTTGTTGTTTGTTTTAAACTGCACTTGGGATGAAAGTATACACTATCAAAAAATTGTTTGGCTTTAAATGTAACCTGTGAAAAGTATTAGGAAGCAAGAAGTTTTAAATACATTCATAGTCCTAAATATATGCTTTGGATTTCATGAAGAAAAATGTGGGAAGAATGCAGTGCTTAAAAGGTTAAAACTAATAAAATGATTAGAAATCATATTTAAAAAATTGGAAGTCACAAATTACACAGTAAAAGCTTGAGAGTTTCCTATATTTTCTGATGGTGTGGATTTGTTTTTGGTTCAAGGACCAAAAGGCACAAACCTCTGAAATTAGTAAGAAGCTTTCTAAAAGGACACCCAACCTTCAGGGAATGTGGCACCCTAGGTATCGATAATTGCTTTAAAACTTAAGGAATAATAGACTCCAATCAAGATTATGGAATACAATCAAGAGCCCAGCTTTAATTTGGACTAGTTTCTATTTAGTACTGTTCACAGTAGAGTGGCCATCACCTGGGAGCTTATTAGAATTGCTCCAATCCCGACCTACTCATTTAGCAATTTGCATTTTAAGAGTATTCCCAGATGATTCATTTGCACACTCAATTTGAAAAGCACTGATTTATAGCAGTATTTTAGAATACAAAATGCTAAAATAATATAATGCAGAGGTAAGCTCATGGGAAGGGTAGCTACAGCTGTGCTCATCATTGCCACTGATAGTCTCTAAAAGATAAAAAAAAAAAAAAAAGCTAAAACTGAAGTGTAAACCAGAATATCATCCTTTACCGTCACTTGTAATCAATGATAGGATGTACCACCATTTCCCTAAGTAGCCTTGTCCTTGTTAAACATTAAAACTCCTGTGATAGTGTGACTTAAGATGCAATATGATTGGCAATTACTGTCAAACTAGAGCTTGCTGAAGTTGTTCTTAGTGAGTTAAGGGGCATAGGGGACGAAGGAGGAATGTGATGTGAAGACGTCAAGGTGAGGTAGGGATATGGCAGGCAACCTCATCCTGAGAGGCTGCATGCATCTTGGAAACATAGTATTCTAATTCCCTTGTTTAGTGCATGTACAACAAGCCCTACTAATTAAAGGAATTCTGAACTCTGTACCATAAACCTAGAAACCCCAATCAGAATTGCCCCAACAAAATGGAATCAAGTGGCACCAAATGTGTATAGATTGGACCCTCCACAAAGACCCCTGGAACTCCTGACCTGATAGATATGTAAGTTTATTAATATTACAATAATGTAAGCCCAAAATTTTTTTTTAATTTTTAATTTTTTTTATTATTATACTTTAAGCTCTGGGGTACATGTGCAGATTGTGCAGAATTGTTACATAGGTATACACATACCATGGTGGTTTGCTGCATCCATTCCCCCGTCATCTACATTAGGTATTGCTCCTAATGTTATCTCTTCTCAATTTCCCCATCTCTTGCTATCCCTCCCCTAGCTCCTCACCCTCCAACAGGTCCCGGTGTGTGATGTTCCCGTCCCTGTGTCCACGTGTTCTCATTGTTCAACACCCAGTTATGAGTGAAAACATGCGGTGTTTGGCTTTCTGTTCTTGTGTCAGTTTGCTGAGAGTGATGGTTTTCAGCTTCATCCATGTCCCTGCAAAGAACATAAACTCATCCTTTTTTATGGCTGCATAATATTCCATGGTGTATATGTGCCACATTTTCTTTATCGAGTCTATCATTGATGGGCTTTTGGATTGATTCCAAGTCTTTGCTATCATAAACAGTACTGCAGTGAACATACATGTGCATGTGTCTTTATAATAGAACAATTTATAATCCTTTGTGTGTATACCCAGTAATGGGCTTGCTGGGTCAAATGGAATTTCTATTCCTAGGTCCTTGAGAAATTGCCACACTGTCTTCCACAATGGTTGAACTAATTTACACTCCAACCAACAGTGTGAAAGTGTTCCTATTTCTCCACATCCTCTCCAGCATCTGTTGTCTCCTGACTTTTTTAATGAGCACAATTGATTTTTTTTTAGAGACAGGTTCTTGCTATGTTACCTATACGACTTGAATTCCTGGGCTCAAGTCATCCTTCTGGCTCAGTCTCCCAAGTAGCTGGGTCTACAGGTGTGTGCCACTATACCCAGCTGAAGTTAAATTTTTTTGAACTCTAATTTTTTTTTCTTTTTGCATTATGAGGGAGTTTCAAGGTATTGAATATTTCCCAAATGCTTGGTACACAGACAGTGGCTTAAGTCATTGCCCCCTCCTGCCCATCTGTCTTCTGCCACCTGGGGCTGCCCCAGCCCCTCACTTTGAATCCTTACTCCTAGGACTTCCCAAGATCTAGCAACTAAGGACTAACAGCTGGCACAGAAGGAGTCCCTCAGGACTCTACTATAAGGCTAAAGTGAGCAAGGATGCCTTCCTGAGTATATGTTCTGTGCAATTACACAGGGCCCCGTGCTTGGAAGGGGCCCAAACATGATATAATGATCTGCTGTTGCCATCTTGAATTTCTTAATAATTTCTGAAGAGGCCACATATTTTACTCTTCATCATTGCCTGGTAATTATGTAGCCACTCCTGAAAGCCACCATCAGTTCTGATCAGTCTTTCAGGCTGTACTAGTAAAACCTAAGCATCATCCATATTTTTATATTTATAAATCAGTGATTGAAACCTTATACATCACTTTAACCAGACATCCTTCCATCCATTCACTCATCTTTCAATCAAGTTAAACATTTATTGCACACATACTGGATACCAGACATTGTGCTAGTGTAAATATATAGCTATCCAGACTGAGTTAGTCATCTGCTTCAAGTGGGGAGCAGTACCATTTATCAAGTGTCTACTATAAGACAGCTTCGGTGCTAGGTGCTTTATATATACTATTTGAATCTTCTTTTGAAGTGAAAGTGACTATATTAGGAAACTAAAGGACTAAAAGCCTGGCTTTTCCATAGGCAGAGCAGTCCCGAGGGCTGCTGGTTAGCCATTTTTGTGGTTATTTCTGGATTATGTACCAAACAAGGGGTCGATTATTCATGAGTGGGCAATTCCTGGAACTGAGGGTTGCTCCCCTTTTTAGACCATGTAGGGTAACTTCTTGACGTTGCCATGGCATTTATAAACTGTCATAGCGCTGGCAGAAATGTCTCTTAGCATGTTAATACATTATAATCAGTGTATAATGAGCAGTGAGGATGATCAGAGGTCACTTTTGTTGCCATCTTGATTTTGGCAGGTTTTGGTCAGCTTTTTTATTGCAATCTGTTTTATCTGCAAGGTCTTTGTGATCTGTATCTTGTGCTGACCTCCTATCTCACCCTGTGACTAAGAATGTCTAACCTCCTTGGAATGCAGCCCAGTAGGTCTCAGTCTTATTTTACCCAGTCCCTATTCAAGATGGAGTCGCTCTGGTATAATCACCTCTGACATATTTCTTCCTTCCTTTTACAAGGGAACCCTTAATCCTGAGGGTTGTAGAGGTACAAAGATTCATCTTCTGCAACTTCTTCAGGCTGAATAGGGGCGATGATATTTCTGCCTATTAGGATCTCTTGTATTTGGAGTACAGAGGAGCTCAGAAAGAGTCAGTATGGTGAGAGCCATTCATAATTCTGAGTTCTGACAAAATGTGATATCTGAAAGATTAATAAGGGTTCAATGTAAGAAAACATTGAGTAAGCTTATCCTACACTCCTACACAAAGAGTGCAACAGCAATATATTCTACAACAGTAAAGCAAAATAAGTAAAATGACCCCAAGTAATCTAAATAAGAAAGCTTTCCATGAATTGGGCAATTGTTGGAACCAAGCTGATATAGGGTTGCTAGCTGATTATAATACATATCCAGGATTAGAATACTGATGTGGATTTTTACATTAGCTGTCCTTCTTGTTTCTTCTGAGCTGCAGAGATCACTGATTGGTTCAAAGGAATCAATAGTCAAAGTTGCAGAAAAAAACCTTAAAAACAACTAATGAGAATATAATCTAATACCAGGTGTACCATAGTTTTTGAAACAATTTTTTTCTCTCACCACTGATTTTTACTAAAGACAAATCATGATAAGACTGATTTGCTTTATTACACTTGGCCTGATTATTTGTATAAAGTATAGCAAAAATAATTATTTTTCACATAAAATATTTTTTTAAAATTATTAATTTATTAAGAAATTAATAATTTTTAAATTATTAATCTTAAAAAATTATTTTTGAGACAGAGTTTTGCTCTTGTTGCCCAGGCTGGAGTGCAGTGATGCAAGCTCAGATCACTGCAACCTCTGCCTTCTAGGTTCAAGCAAATCTCTTGCCTCAGCCTCCCAAGTAGCTGGGATTACAGACATGTTCCAACATGCCCTGCTAATTTTGTATTTTCATTAGAGACAGTGTGTCACCATGTTGGCCAGGCTGGACTCAAACTCCTGACCTCAGGTGATATGCCCACTTGGTCTCCCAAAGTGCTGGGATTACAGGCATGAGCCGCCATGCCCAGCCTTCATATAGGCTTTTTAAAATTGGCTTTGATGGAACTTTGTTCCATAAAAGGAATCTCAGATAAGATTTTTTTAAGCTGAGCCCTGGTGTTTATCCTCAAATACCTATAAGTTGGTTAAATTCCGCTCCTCTTGAGATCCTAAGATAACTTGGGGCTCCTGGGCCTGTTGGAAAGTGGCATTCTTTACTTACCACAGGTCAGAAACCCTGCACAGGGACTGTGTAAACAAGGTATGAGGCCTGTTTTCCCAAGGGGCTTTTATTGGCTTTATATGTCAGATTTGATTCCTTAAAGGAAAGCATGCCATTTCAGCCAAAGCCTTGGTAAAACAGTTTCTCCAATTGTGTCCTCTTGCAAAAAAAAAAACCAGATAATTAGTGCACTTACACAAATAACTATATTGCCATAAGTTAAGAATATTCACTAATTTCCAAATTTGGAGAAATCAGGTAGAGAGAAATACGCTTCAACTTTTCTTTAAATGAGTATACTTTAATCAA